GTATACTGTAGAAGTAAAAGAAGTAGTTGTAGTAGCATGAGGAGGGAGAGTGGAAATATATTGTAGAAGTTAGAGAAGTAGTTGTAGTAGCATGATGAGGGAGAGTAGAAGTATATTGTAGAAGTTAGAGAAGTAGTTGCATGAGGAGGGAGAGTAGAAGTATACTGTAGAAGTAAAAGAAGTAGTTGTAGTAGCATGAGGAGGGAGAGTAGAAGTATATTGTAGAAGTTAGAGAAGTAGTTGTAGTAGCATGATGAGGGAGAGTAGAAGTATATTGTAGAAGTTAGAGAAGTAGTTGTAGTAGCATGAGGAGGGAAAGTAGAAGTATATTGTAGAAGTTAGAGAAGTAGTTGCATGAGGAGGGAGAGTAGAAGTATATTGTAGAAGTTAGAGAAGTAGTTGCATGATGAGGGAGAGTAGAAGTATATTGTAGAAGTTAGAGAAGTAGTTGTAGTTGCATGAGGAGGGAGAGTAGAAGTATATTGTAGAAGTTAGAGAAGTAGTTGTAGTTGCATGATGAGGGAGAGTAGAAGTATATTGTAGAAGTTAGAGAAGTAATTGTAGTAGCATGAGGAGGGAGAGTAGAAGTATATTGTAGAAGTTAGAGAAGTAGTTGTAGTAACATGAGGACGGAGAGTAGAAGTATATTGTAGAAGTTAGAGAAGTAGTTGTAGTAGCATGAGGAGGGAAAGTAGAAGTATATTGTAGAAGTTAGAGAAGTAGTTGCATGAGGAGGGAGAGTAGAAGTATATTGTAGAAGTTAGAGAAGTAGTTGCATGAGGAGGGAGAGTAGAAGTATATTGTAGAAGTTAGAGAAGTAGTTGTAGTAGCATGATGAGGGAGAGTAGAAGTATATTGTAGAAGTTAGAGAAGTAGTTGTAGTAGCATGAGGAGGGAAAGTAGAAGTATATTGTAGAAGTTAGAGAAGTAGTTGCATGAGGAGGGAGAGTAGAAGTATATTGTAGAAGTTAGAGAAGTAGTTGCATGATGAGGGAGAGTAGAAGTATATTGTAGAAGTTAGAGAAGTAGTTGTAGTTGCATGAGGAGGGAGAGTAGAAGTATATTGTAGAAGTTAGAGAAGTAGTTGCATGAGGAGGGAGAGTAGAAGTATATTGTAGAAGTTAGAGAAGTAGTTGTAGTTGCATGAGGAGGGAGAGTAGAAGTATATTGTAGAAGTTAGAGAAGTAGTTGTAGTAGCATGAGGAGGGAGAGTAGAAGTATATTGTAGAAGTCAGAGAAGTAGTTGTAGTAGCATGATGAGGGGGAGTAGAAGTATATTGTAGAAGTTAGAGAAGTAATTGTAGTAGCATGATGAGGGGGAGTAGAAGTATATTGTAGAAGTCAGAGAAGTAGTTGTAGTAGCATGAGGAGGGAGAGTAGAAGTATATTGTAGAAGTTAGAGAAGTAGTTGTAGTTGCATGAGGAGGGAGAGTAGAAGTATATTGTAGAAGTCAGAGAAGTAGTTGTAGTAGCATGATGAGGGGGAGTAGAAGTATATTGTAGAAGTTAGAGAAGTAATTGTAGTAGCATGATGAGGGGGAGTAGAAGTATATTGTAGAAGTCAGAGAAGTAGTTGTAGTAGCATGAGGAGGGAGAGTAGAAGTATATTGTAGAAGTTAGAGAAGTAGTTGTAGTTGCATGAGGAGGGAGAGTAGAAGTATATTGTAGAAGTTATAGAAGTATTTGTAGTAGCATGATGAGGGAGAGTAGAAGTATATTGTAGAAGTTAGAGAAGTAGTTGTAGTAGCATGATGAGGGAGAGTAGAAGTATATTGTAGAAGTTAGAGAAGTAGTTGTAGTAGCATGAGGAGGGAGAGTAGAAGTATATTGTAGAAGTTAGAGAAGTAGTTGCATGAGGAGGGAGAGTAGAAGTATACTGTAGAAGTAAAAGAAGTAGTTGTAGTAGCATGATGAGGGAGAGTAGAAGTATATTGTAGAAGTTAGCGAAGTAGTTGTAGTTGCATGAGGAGGGAGAGTAGAAGTATATTGTAGAAGTTAGAGAAGTAGTTGCATGAGGAGGGAGAGTAGAAGTATACTGTAGAAGTAAAAGAAGTAGTTGTAGTAGCATGAGGAGGGAGAGTAGAAGTATATTGTAGAAGTTAGAGAAGTAGTTGTAGTAGCATGAGGAGGGAGAGTAGAAGTATATTGTAGAAGTTAGAGAAGTAGTTGTAGTAGCATGAGGAGGGAGAGTAGAAGTATATTGTAGAAGTTAGAGAAGTAGTTGCATGAGGAGGGAGAGTAGAAGTATATTGTAGAAGTTAGAGAAGTAGTTGTAGTTGCATGAGGAGGGAGAGTAGAAGTATATTGTAGAAGTTAGAGAAGTAGTTGTAGTAGCATGATGAGGGAGAGTAGAAGTATATTGTAGAAGTTAGAGAAGTAGTTGTAGTAGCATGATGAGGGAGAGTAGAAGTATATTGTAGAAGTTAGCGAAGTAGTTGTAGTTGCATGATGAGGGAGAGTAGAAGTATATTGTAGAAGTTAGAGAAGTAGTTGTAGTTGCATGAGGAGGGAGAGTAGAAGTATATTGTAGAAGTTAGAAAAAAAGTAGTTGTAGTAGCATGAGGAGGGAGAGTAGAAGTATATTGTAGAAGTTAGAGAAGTAGTTGTAGTAGCATGATGAGGGAGAGTAGAAGTATATTGTAGAAGTTAGCGAAGTAGTTGTAGTTGCATGAGGAGGGAGAGTAGAAGTATATTGTAGAAGTTAGCGAAGTAGTTGTAGTTGCATGAGGAGGGAGAGTAGAAGTATATTGTAGACGTTAGAGAAACGGTGATTTTAGAATCTGGATGGTAGATATATGCTGTAGAAGTTAGAGAAACGGTGTTTTTAGTATCTGGATGGTAGATATATGCTGTAGAAGATAGAGAAACGGTGTTTTATTATCTGGATGGTAGATATATGCTTTAGAAGTTAGAGAAACGGTGATTTTAGTATCTGGATGGTAGATATATGCTGTAGAAGTTAGAGACACGGTGATTTTAGTATCTGTTTGGTAGATATTTGCTGTAGAAGTTAGAGACACGGTGATTTTAGTATCTGGATGGTAGATATATGCTGTAGAAGGTAGAGAAACGGTGATTTTAGTATCTGGATGGTGGATATATGCTGTAGAAGTTAGAGAAACGGTGATTTTAGTATCTGGATGGTAGATATATGTTGCAGAAGTTAGAGAAACGCTGATTTTAGTATCTGGATGATAGATATATGCTGTAGAAGTATATTGTAGGTGACTTTAGTATCTGGATGGTAGATTTATGCTGTAGAAGTAAGAAAGGAAGATGAAGTAGGATGTGCAAGTTATAGGGATGTTGTAATGTTTAGAGAGGTAGTTGAGATATACTTAGTAGGTAGAATAGTAGGGTAAAGGTATGGTGTAATATTTAGAGAGGTATTTGAGATATACTTAGTAGGTAGAATAGTAAGGTAAAGGTATGGTGTAATAGTTATAGAAACAATATTGTAGTATATATAGAAGGAAGGGGGATTTGTAGCAGTTAGAGAAACAGTGATGTAGTATTGGAGGGTAGTGGTATGCTGTAGTAGTTAGAAATACCGTGGTGTAGTGTATAAAGGGAAGACGTATGATGTAGTAGTTAGAAATACCGTGTTGTAGTGTATAAAGGGAAGACGTATGATGTAGTAGTTAGAAATACCGTGTTGTAGTGTATAAAGGGAAGACGTATGATGTAGTAGTTAGAAATACCGTGTTGTAGTGTATAAAGGGAAGACGTATGATGTAGTAGTTAGAAATAACGTGTTGTAGTGTATAAAGGGAAGACGTATGGTGTAGTAGTTAGAAATACCGTGTTGTAGTGTATAAAGGGAAGACGTATGATGTAGTAGTTAGAAATACCGTGTTGTAGTGTATAAAGGGAAGACGTATGATGTAGTAGTTAGAAATACCGTGTTGTAGTGTATAAAGGGAAGACGTATGATGTAGTAGTTAGAAATAACGTGTTGTAGTGTATAAAGGGAAGACGTATGATGTAGTAGTTAGAAATACCGTGTTGTAGTGTATAAAGGGAAGACGTATGATGTAGTAGTTAGAAATACCGTGTTGTAGTGTATAAAGGGAAGACGTATGATGTAGTAGTTAGAAATAACGTGTTGTAGTGTATAAAGGGAAGACGTATGATGTAGTAGTTAGAGGTAGCATGATGAGTAGGATAGGGGGGATAAAGGGGAGTAGTAGTAAAAGAATTGTTGTAGGAGTTGTAAAAGTGTTGAAGTATGGGGAGAGTAGATGGATGTTGTAGTATATTTATAACGACAGTGGCACAGAAGGGGGCCAAAGAGGGATGTTGTAGTAGTAAGAAATCAAGTGTGTAGTAGTAAGAAATCAAGTGGGAGAGGGAAAATGTTGTAGTAGTTTGAGACTTGGTGTTCATTTCATATAAGTAAATGCAGAAGTGTTGATGTAGAATTAAGAGAGTAGATGGGAATTGTAGTAGTTAATACATCAGTGTTTGTTTTTGTAAGAAGGGGTAGATGGAGAAGCAGTTTCGTCATATCTACCTTCACGTTCTTCCTACGACTACTATGACAATCTTCTAGAGTTAGTTAAACTAAAAAATGCCCCAATAAAGGAATTTCCATTTTCTATACTACTAGTCTATTACTATTCAACTTTTCCCACCTCTACGTACGTCTGTTATTATAAATGTATAGAATGCACGTTAAGAGCCTAAAAAAGACAGAAATATAATTGTCATGTGATATAAGATCATATAAATAGGAATATTCACAGCCAAAACCAAATTAAGTGGACAGATCATAGAAAACACTAAGATTTTAATTGAAATCTTTTTTATACGTGTATATTTTAATTTTCTGCGACCTTCATTTCATTTTGCATCTCTGAAAGTGTAAATACTACATGTTTCATTTCCTCGATATTCAGATACAATTCAAATTTCTAAATTTATTTATCCTAAATACGTATCTTTCGCCTGAATACATACTGTCTAAAATAAGTTATTGAATTGATTTATAAGTCGAATACCTTCATTTCGTTCCAGTATCCAGGATCCTGTTGAACCAAATGACGTCATAATACCTAAGCCATGAACAGATATTGGGAATGGATCAGTCCATTTCAATACAATTTTACTGCTTTTCTCCACTTGGATAGTACCATTCAAGAACCATCTTACTGTGAACGGTCGAAATTGATTACAGCTCAGAATTTTTGGTGTAGACGCTGTCTTAATGCTGTCAGTACCAGACATCCATGGTGAAGACGATGTCTTAACGCCATCTGTACCAGATTTCCGTGGTGTAGACGCTTTCTTAACATCGTCGGTACCTGACATCCGTGGTGTAGACGCTTTCTTAACACCGTCGGTACCAGATATCCGTGGTGTAGACGCTTTCTTAACACTGTCGGTACCAGATATCCGTGGTGTATATGCTTTTGTATCACCGTCGGTACCAGACATCCGTGGTGTAGACGCTGTCTTAACGCCGTCGGTACCAGGCATCCGTCGGATATTGATAATTGTATTATTCGAGCATCCAAAACCTATTTCGTAAAATAATGGTGATCTGAGATAAAAGTTTTCAGACAGTAATATAAGGGCGTCTTTGCAGGCCTCCACTTGAAATGATAAATGTCCGTTCCGTTCAGGAACAATTCCGTATTGTCCAAGCATTGTATAATAATCAGTTATATTGCTTGTGGCTACAGAGTTCACATAACCGCTGTCCGGTGTTCGTACAAGTATGGCTCCACAGGATAGGTATTGGACTGAAATACAGCAACGATAATACTAATGATAATAGTACATTATTTATTGTAATAATAATAGTAATAATAATAGTAGTAGTAATAATAATAATAATAATAATAATAATAATAATAATAATAATAATAAAATAGTAATCGCTTGGTGATAATTCAGTATGAGCTTAAATAAAGATATAAAAATGTGTTGTTTTTTTCATAAAACGGGGAGAAAATTATAGTAGAGCTGCGTACGTATACATGTAAATGTATAAAACTTTGATTGATTTTGGAACATTCGAAGACGACATAAAAGATGCATTTTGATCTATTTTGTAAGGATCTGTATATAAAAACTCAATTCCCAAACAGTTACAGATTTTTCAAAAAGATTTTTCAACCCGAAATAGGTTAACAGATGTATTGATATTCATTTGTATACGATTCAACTTCTATCCGACACAGCTCAGTTGTTTCCTGTTTAAAAGTCACTTCAAAAGATTGTAGACTTCTTATATTGTACTGGTACACCACTGTCCCAGGTTAGGGGGAGGGTTGGGATCCCGCTAACATGTTTAAACCCGCCACATTCTGTATGTATGTGCCTGCCCCAAGTCAGGAGCCTGTAATTCAGTGGTTGCCGTTTGTTGCTGTGTTACATATTTTTTCGGGGTTCGTATGGATAGTTAACCCGGCAAATTGTAACAAACCCCTGTGATCTCAGTGCGTCTTTATGAAATCTCAGTGTATAATTTTTAATTCTCGGTGTGTGTTTTTAGGTTTTTTAATCTCAGTGTGTTTTTTTAATTCTCAGTGTGTAAATTTTGCGAAAATGGTTTAAACATAGTTTTGACGAGAATGGCTTGCCATAACATTAGTCACAAAATGCTCATGTACTATAGGACTATGGGTAATTCAATTGTTCGTACCCCAAAATGAAAATTACGTCACGCCATTTGTTGAATTTCCATTGTGTAGGACGTTTTAAACCAATCAAAATGTTTTGGTGTACATTTTTGAAAATATTACCCTGAATGCATTAGATTCTGAAACGGCGATTAAAGGATGGGAATGTAGGAAGTGAGTGTCCGTCAGATCCAAGCGCTTACACGTTATAAATCATCACAGTCAGTTTATTATTATGTACGATGTCATGTTGTCTAGTAGTTTCAGCAGTAAAGAGTGGCAAAGATATTATATTTCATGCAACATGTTGAAAATTTAAAGTATTTTGTAAATAGGAAATAGGTTTCCAACAGTTCAGAAAAAAATCACACACGCGTTTTAGGGAGCAACTATTTAACTTCAAGGGGGGTTATGGTTTTTTATCTGAGTCAGAAAATGTTTTTTTAGTTTTTTCGATGCTATCAATCAAATTATATTTTTCAAAATTTATCACTATAATGTAAAGAGAAAATCTGGATTCAGAATAATTTTTTTTGTCATCTGCTTGACCACAATAATTTTTTATCAAATTGGGGATAAGAATATTTTTTAGGAAAAAACCATAACCCACCCCCTTGAAGTTAAATGGTCGTTCCCTTAAATGATAATTTTGTGACGCTGATGAAAAAAGTGCAGTCATTCTGTTCAGTGGTATTTAAGAAAGAGTAATGTGTGGCAATAAATTTTAGCTATTCATTCAACATATTTTAATATTGGTAAACAAGAAAAATTTGTCTGAAAGATTTGAAAATTTCTACATGTATAGGTTATTACTTAAAACGAAATGAATGTTATGCTATCTAAATGTATAGGTTAATAAATTAATGTAAGTGTTATTTTTGCAACAATTCATCGTGCATGTTGACAATGATTATGTTACAAAATAGAGACGATTGAGAGCCTTTAATTGTTTAATCCAAACAGTATTTATGTAAGTGATCAAAGTCACGAATCGCGTCCTGTAAATACTCATATGGTCCGGTCCGATAATTACCTAAAGAGTATATACTCCTGCGGTCCCACCATACGCGTAGATCATATGAGTAAATATTCAAACGGTGATGCCCATACACGAATTGGTCAAATACTTGTATGGTCCGCAGCATTTATATATAATGTATATGTATATTATACTGAAGTGAAATATCCTGGTTAATCCTGCACTTTGAAATGTTACCTAAACAGGGGATATGGGCCCAGATGCCCTGTGAAGGAAAACATAGAAATGGTAATTAGTTAGAAGAAATCAGGACACTCTAGTATATTATAATTGTTATTCGGGCTTAACAGGGGATATGGGCTCATATTCCCTTCAGTACCCTATATCACTTTCGCCTGTCGGCTCAGGAGATATAAAACACTAACAGGGAATATGAGCCTTTATTTCTTATGCAGCAATCTGATTGGTTAATTACCCCGGTGTAAATAACACCCCACCCTTGTTCACACCGGAATAAATAAAATTTTGCCAAAAAATGTAAAAAAATAAAATTTTGCCAAAATAAAGAAAAAAAAAAAAATTAACAAAAAAAAAAAATAATAATAATAAAATGTTAAAAAAAAAAAAAAATAATAAAAATAAAAAATAAATAAATTTGAGGACAAAAATTGAAATTTCAAAAGAACACAAAAATTTTCTGAATTTTCCCAAAAATAAAGATAAAAAGTATTTGACAATGCGCATCAACATCGACGTTGAAAAAATGTTACACTGGACATTTTTCATTACCATTTTTCAATTTTACATCCTGGTTTAAAAATGAGTAAAGGAATTGTTCATAAGAAATAAATTCGTTATCTTGGTGTAATCAGGGGTGTACGGAATTTTACACCGTTGTTGAAAATTCATACACCCATTCGGCTGCGCCTCAGGGTGTATTAATTTTCAACAACAGTGTAAAATTCTGTACACCCCTGATTACACCAAGATAACTAATAATATCCCTTGTGAAGATCTCCAAACTGAGCCCATATCCCTTGTGAAGATCCCCAAACTGAGCCCATATCCATTGTGAAGATCTCCAAACTGAGCCCATATCCCTTGTGAAGATCCCTAACCTGGGCTCATATCCCTTGTGAAGATCCCCAAACTGATCCCATATCCCTTGTGAAGATCCCCAAACTGAGCCCATATCCCTTGTGAAGATCCCCAAACTGATCCCATATCCCTTGTGAAGATCCACAAACTGATCCCATATCCCTTGTGAAGATCCCAAATATATAACAAACACATTCAGACTTACCAACATATAATTGTTGCAAAATAGAATTCCGCATGCTAACTGATCCTGCTTGTCTCTTTGGTGTAGTCCTAATCCTTTAACATACTACTTTAGTGTCACATATTGGGTCTGGAAGTCTGTGACAGCTAATTATACCATAATTAATTATTTATTGCAACTATTGAAATGTGGGAACACACTCAAATTAAAACACAGTTGTATTTGACAATCATTGCTTTATTTGTTAAACACTTTATAAAATTAAAATACAATTTTGTATTTGATAATCATTTTTACTCGGTGAGAACCATAACGCTAACAAAAATATTATAATAGATATATTTAGTAATTAGTTAAAATAAATTAGTTATGTGAACTTACGACACATTGAAAATAATTATTGAAATAGATTAATTGGATCTTGTTAAATTTTCATCTTACATTTTTATTGTACAATTTCAATTAAAAATATAAGGGGTGTTGTATAATTGCTAATTAAGCAACAATCCAACAACGACCAAATGATGATGATAATGATAGGTTAGCGTTTAACCTCCAGTGGCAAATATTACATGCATATCAGAACGAAACACGCATATGAACCTTGCTTTATAGAAGACGACTGAAATGCTGAGTCGGACCTTTAAAGTGCTATTTCCCCCAGAAAGACTTCACTCTGCATCGACCAGTCTGTGTTTCTACTCATAATTGCAGCGTGCTTGGTGGAGAAGAAGCAAAAAACAATTTTACTCCACTCGTTTGAAATGACCAATGAACTCCAACACTCAAAACGAGAACGCACTTATCGATGCAGTTACAAACAGCAAAAGGACATAAATTAAAAAGGCAACCGGAATGCATATAAAAAAACTCATCGAAAGATACAAGTTTTTTTAGTTTTGTACGCAAACCTCGCGTTTCGTCTACAATAGACTCACCAGTGACGCTCGAATAAAAACAGAGTTACAGTTACAGGTACGAGTAACCGATTTACTTGCGGAGATATAACCATTTGAAAATGTAAGGAAAGCACTATAAAATACATAGACATTACGTTAGATTTGCTTTTAAACTTTGAATTTCATGGTTAATTTATTCTACCGTGAAAATTAATCCTACAACTTTTCTATACAAATTAAATGTTGTTATAATTGAAATTATATTTCTATTGGCGTATAATTTTCATAGGTTTACCGAACTTCTTTTTTTTTTATATATCAGCCGACGAAAAGTGTTGCTGACGTAAAAAAAAAGTCGAAATAGTGTGACGTCGCCGTCAGCAAAATCGTTGATTACCAACTTAAAAATAATGTCGCATAAAGTAATCAGTACAAATTCAACGACCGATTCAAAAAGTTGTCTGTATTGATTCTTCTGAAATAATGTGCTTTAGAGAAGTATGAAATTATTATTTTAAGTTTTGTTAACAGTTAATTCATAAATATGACAATACATGGCCATGT